CCGTGTTCCCTGCTGATTGCAAAACAACGAGAAACATTTTGATAACGTGTCTTTTTTTTTTTCCTGTTAATAAACCACAAACTTGTTGAGAAACTATCAAAAAATGAAAGAAAAAAATGCTCATATGAAATATGTTTGTACTGACTGAAAGAACTACAACCACAATGCATGCTGAAATTATTTGGAGCTGTGATCTCAGTTTACTTTTGTTGTTTTTCAGATTAGGCATGATAAAATATTACTGTAGAAAGGGGCATTTCCGTGCACTTACAACAAGCTGATTGTTAATGTTCCATGGTAGTTGTACAAATAACTTCCCTTTGAAAAATGCAGTATTTCTTATTCAAACACTCATTAGTGAACTAAAGGTGTTCAGTTAGTTCAATATTTACTATTGTTTTATCTTGCTTCCTAGGTACTGTTACAACTGCAATAAGTCATTGTATACCTGTTGTATCAGGAATCAGGATTTCTTTTTTTAAGGTATTTTACACAACTCATCTACACTATAAACTTCTAAATGCAAACATTTAAATAATCTTACAGCCAAACCGTGCACCACACGGGCGCTATTCAGTCATTGTTCTTTTTGTCCACCGTCCTCTATTTCTATGACAGTTTGTTGTCCGCTCCAACGTTACCGTACTGTTTGGGATTTCAAGGTTACCGATGAATCTACATAGTCTTTTCTTCTGTAGACCTCTTGTCTACTTCTGTATTTTCAGAACAAACCTCTCGTTCCAAGAGGTTTACTCTTGCAGGATCAATCCTCTTTGAATTAAATTTACAACACAGATGTTTTTGGGATCAGCTAACACTTCTCTCCAAACCTTCCTTGTTGACATTCTGCAGCATGCAGAGTATTGGCTATGCTGGAAGACACCAAAAGACATTCAGCAAAAAAGATAGCTAAATTCTTTTTGTAATTATCTGTAAACTTGCATCCTAAAATTTGTTGGAGAATTTATATAGTGTGAAGATATTTTATTACCTAAGAACACTGATAGAATAATGGATTGGGTCACAAATCTATAAAAATATCATTTATTTCAATTCAAATTTACCCACATGGGCAGGCCTAAAAGCTAATATGGAGGCTCTTCTAGTTAAGGCTTTTTGGCTTCGTTTTTAAACAACATTGATGTTACCAGAAACCTTTCTGATAAAAAAGTGACATTTTTCTTCATGAAAGTGCATTAGGAGATGTATCATAATGCTTCCTATATACATGACATACCATACAACATATGCATCAAATATACATGGAATATGTGCATATCAATACATACGTATATACATCAAAAACACTGGATCAGAAATAATTGCATGTCTGCAAAATAAAATATACATATAAATCAAAAGGCTCAGTGCATTAGAAGCCATTACAATAAACGATTAACACAGTTATTTAATAGTTTGAGTAGTGTATGTTTCAGTACAGTATTTGCTAGCATTCTACTGACCTGAAAATTTACATTAAGAGAAAACACCCACTAAAAACTGAAACTTGCTGATGATACACTTTTTACTGCACACAAATACTGGTCTTTCTCTCTACCTGTCAACAGAGATTGAAGAGTAGATGATGGACTATCATGCTACGGTATATACACCAAAATACAACAATGATGTCACATACTAGAATTAAACTGAAGTACATAATGTCATGCATTACTCTATCTTATCATTTACTAATTCGGAAGCTTGGTTAATTTGCAATTAACCTCCCACTTTTTCTGCAAATCAGAATAACTTACTCATTTTAAACTGAGCTGCTACATTTCTTTCAAACCTTAACAGGGAGCAGAAGCGCAGGCTGTCTTCCGTCCCCGAGGAGCGCTCCTTCTGAGGAACTCTGCCGGGGTTGATTACCTGGTGCTCCTCTCCTCTCTTTCACCCTGTCGGAAAATTGCAGTAGATCTGCTGAAGCTGGTGGGTTATGTAAGGTTTAACAGGGTTTGCAAGAGAGGCAGAACGCGCCCGGACTTTTTAATTGCATCCTACTTCTACCCGTGGTTACTGATACAAACAATGGCTTGGTCCCCACCTTTTGGCAAACAGTCGCTGATACAAAAAACTGCCTTGACGTTAGCAACCTGCAACAACAACTTCTTTACGCCACATGGTATTTCTTCACTGGTTATATCAGGTAAATAATGCACGAAGGCAGTTATTAAAGCCCATTTGGGACAGACTACATACAACCCAGAAAACCTACTGACTCCATCAGGTCACGTTTCTTTTAAAATCTCTTCATTCTCCTTTTCATATGGACTGAAAAGAACGCACTACAGCAATACGCTTGCATAACAGTTATACCCCTGAAGCAACTTGTACTTTCATTTTTAAAATGCAGCTTACGGAATAATTTTGCAGAATTCCAGTCCTGTCCCCTATTTCCATGTGTCACATGCAAAATCATTACTTCATTCTGAATTTGGGAAATACACATTCTTTTGGTGTTTTAGGTGATTTAAATGCTGTTTTGGTAGTGAATGACTGTTGATGACTGTGTAAAATGCATCTGTACTGTACATGAAATGTAATTATTTCTGTGTATCATACAAAGAAACTGAGGTTGTTGTTTTGACAATTTGGTTTGACAGTCATATATCGTATTTCAGAAGGCAGCATAATACATGCGTTATGCTGAATAGACATTTGAGGAATATTTAAATAAAACATCTGCATGCTTGAATGGGTCAGCCGGGTTTTGCAATAACTTATTCATGGAACATTGTTTCCCCCCCCCCCAATAACATTGAAGGAACACTAAATTTCAGAGCAAAAAATGTCCCCGACACGAATTCAAGCAAGCCGTGAGTGCATCCAAACCATACCAGAGCCACCAAGACCGGGATGCCGCAGGTCCATAACATGGAGCTGCCCTCCTCCTGTGTGAGTGGCCGTCACCTTTCCCATCCCCACCTGCAGCAGCAAATTGGGACATTAAATTATTTCCAGCACTATGAACTCCACCTATCTATACTTTTAAAAAAGTATCCGCTGTGTTTTCAATACGTCCAGACACTGACCGCTTTGCTGAACCTCCCAGGCTACAGAGCCACCCCAAACCTGATATCAAATTCTCTTGATTGATAAAATATTTGTGCACAGATAAGATCAAACTCCCTTTTGCGGTGTGACAGCGGGTGACGACACGCTGTGTATCACTTACAGAGGGCGACGGGTGGTGCAGACAATGCTGATCTATCCGCCTTGCGTACCATAGCACTGGTATGCGTGACGCCCGCCTCTGCCAAGAGCTTACTGCTCTGTGGAGGGAACAGAGGTGAAAGTAATACCTACCTGTGAACCATCCCAGAGCATTTTTAAGGAGAACGACTGTCCTCCCTTGAAATGGTGACCTGAGACAAACTGGAAGGCTATGCTTTACGTTTTAAGGTTTTGGATGCACTCGCCGTGGAAACACGCTGCCTGCCGAGGCTTTCCCAGCTGACAACACGATGGAACCTCAGCTGCTGCAGGGAGAAGGGTGGCTTTCGGAGAGGAAAGGGGGGGGAGGACACGTTAGTGAAATCACAGGATCATAAAGGTTTGGGCAGGGAGGGTGCTTAGGAGGTCATATGCTCTCTTTCCTGCATCTGGGGCCCACCAGGACTTCATTTTCCCATTGACTATGGAAACATCTGAAGATTTTCAGGTGTTCTGGAATAGCCATCAGCTGGCGGGATCTGTAAATGTGCAGCTGAAAGAGCAGTCCGGAGAGAACACCACATTTAGACTGACAAAAGCTGTAAGATATGCCTAAGTACCTGGACAGCTTAGTTTCTTACCTCCTTGCATTATCTATTTATCTACTTTTAAGGTACCCATTGTCACAGCATCTATGTAAAAGAAACAATTCAAGGTGGGGGAGCGCTGAATAAAAAGCAAGTAGATGCATAAAAATCCTGAAGTATTTAGGACATTCCAAATTTTTTTTAGAGAAATGCAGTCAATCATACCCGAGTTTTAAAGTTTTAGATACAATCTCACTTCAATAATAGCAATTCATATGAATTAAACATAATGCTTTCATGGTAAAAACTTCAAAAACTATTTGAAAATCTCTGTCTCCATCATATTTAACTGTATAGTCTATGACAACAGCCTCTCTTTTTACTATTTATTCTTTATAATTTGCCTTGTATTTACAGGTTGCTTTTACAAAACAAACTGTTATAAAGAACAGAAAACATAGTCACATTTCTTCCAGAAAGCCTCATCATACAACCCACTGGCAGGTAAATCAATACCTTGTCCAAAGACCAGGAGTAGTGAATCTGCCTCTTAAAAGCATCCCCATCCTCGCAAGTCACAACTGTGTGGTGCAACACTTACTCAGCCCCACAGGTACAGTCCCACAGCCTCAAAGGGATTCCCTGGGCCAAACAGAAACACCTGATGCAGGCAGGGGGTGACCCCTTTTCTAACACAGTTGGTCTCCTCAACATTAAGCGATCTGTGAAAAACATTAAGGAGCAGCTCCATAGTTGGTTGTTGCAACAAGGAAGATTTGGTTCATTACAGTTTATGCTGCAAAGAAAGAACGCACCACCCTTCTCCTCCGGGTACTCCTGCAGAACTGAGGGAAAAAAAGGAAATAAAAGGATGAAGCAGTTTTCACTGCTGCAAGTATCTCTAAATGTTCCCCTCTTGCCAAGCAGCCTCTCTCCTACATATATCCTAAAGCTCTACAGGAAAAGAACAGGGTCACAGCAGCCTAGTCAATCAATTTTAAGGCTTTTTGAACAAGCCCTAGAAAAACAGAGACACCTCATAGCCTGAGCACAGTTAAAGAACAAAGTTTGAAAGCATTCCAATTTACAGCTGAGACCTATTTTAGCAAATGTGGTTAGATGATACTCAAAATGGGATTGTTGCCCAGAATACTTATCAGTAGTCCTTACTAGGGAAGGGAATAGTTGTGTCACTCCTGACATATGGGTCTTTCCCCTAATGAAACTAGCGCCATTCTGAATGCAGACTGCCTCAGGATTTGGGTAGCCAAGCCCAAGTGAGGTTACCCTGACCACAGATGTTCACTGTTGTGGGGGTCCACAAACACCGGTCTGGGAGGTTGGTCCTTGTCCTGGTTTTGCCCAGCCAGTAGCTGAGCACCCCACAGCCGCTTGCTCACTCCCCTCTCAGTGGGATGGGGGACAGAATTGGAAGAGTAAAAGTGAGAAAACTCGAGTTGAGATAAAGACAGTTTAATAGATAAAGCAAAAGCCATGCGCACAAGCAAAGCAGAACAAGGAATTTATTCACCACTTCCCATGGGATGGTTCAGCCATCCCCAGGAAAGCAGGGCTCCATCCCATGTAACGGTTACTTGGGAAGACAAACACCATCACTCCAAATGTCCCCCCTTCCTTCTTCTTCCCCCAGCTTTACATGCTGAGCATGATGTCATATGGTATGGAATATCCCTTGGGTCAGTTGGGGTCAGCTGTCCCAGCTGTGTCCCCTCCCAATTCCTTGTGCACCCCCAGCCACCTTACTGGTGGGGTGGGGTGAGAGGCAAAAGAGGCCTTGGCTCTGTGTCAGCCATGAATGAAAACATCCCTGGGTTATCAGCACTGTTTCCAGCACAAACCCAAAACACAGCCCTGTACTAGCTACCATGAAGAAAATTAACTCTATCCCAGCCAAAATCAGCACAGTCCCGTATCAAAGGAGCTCTACTCCAAACAATCCTTGAGTGAGGGAACCACAACCAAATTAATCTTTGAGAAGTGCTACCTCAAACCCCATCTCCTGGATTTACCACCTCCTGGACCTAGAGTCTCCTGTTTCAGCTGTGATATGAGAAATCCCCTTCACTGTTTGAGCTGAACAAAAGGCAATGAGCTGCTTTACTGAAAATCTGAGCAGATCCCAGGGACATCTGCAGACCCTATCCTTCTGGAGCCTGTTGTTTCTCAGGGTGCCTTTAACACCTTGCTTACCTTTTAATCCAAGGACTGGCAACCCCCACAAGGTCCATACATGTACCTCCAGCACTGGTTACACCCCTGTGGGAGCAATCCTGGGCTTAACCTGGGCTGTCGGTATCTCTAATTCTAGCTGTGGACTTCTCAAAGAAATCTCCCTAGCCCAGCTTGCCATATTTCTTCCTTCATGAGCTCTAAACTGGACACGAGAAGATACACAGGCAACCTCACCGGTAGCCCAGAGACGCTCCTTGCATACAACTTTAAGCATCAGGATTTCCTGGACAAAGGGCAGGAAGAAATCTATTACTTTGAGTGGAATCCCCTACATTCAGCTGTAATCCACACCTGTAATCCACAGCTGAATGTAGCTAGGTACATATAATCCACCAATCCACAATCAAAACATTCCACGATTTGGGATTTGCTTGTTTTTTTTGCCTTTTTGTTGTTTAAGCAGGGAAAAAACCCAACAATGGCTCAATCCACTGTGTCGCATCACAGGTCTCTGTAGCACTCCAAAGTCCAGAGCTGGTCTACCTCCAGGCTTTCTCAGATACCTGCTCTTTTTCTGCATTGGAATCTCGCTCTGAGCTGCAGAAATGCTGCCCAGGCTATGCAATGGGAAGGATGGAAGCCTACAGTATTGCTGGGCACAAAGTTTCTCATGCGCTGTTTGGGAAGCCATCTCAGACAAAGATACTCCAACCAAAATTTTGGGAAAACCTATCTCTTAGCCTTTTTCCTACCTCCCAAAATAAGTATTAGCATTTCTGTAGGAGAGGTATAAAAGCAGGAAAGTAATCTTGCTTGCAATAGTACCTGTGAAATAATTACACCCACATGTAAGCTGCTAAAAAACAAACAACAGCCCACACAACTTAAGAACTTAATTTCATGGGCCCTTAAGAAGCTTTCTCATAAGCCACAAAAAAAGAAAATGAAATTTACAATTAAGTTTCTCCACAACAGAGTAAGTGGAATGGGTAAAGACACGACAAACTAACTCAGACTAGCAGGAGGATCCTCCCCGCCTCCCACCCAAAGCATTCGCACTCCAGGACTTCAAAATAAAAAAGCCATTAGGAATTTAAGATAAAAGTAATTTTATTGTCTACCAAATCACACCTTTTTTTTTTTTTTTTTACAAATTCCCAAACAAATTAAAGAATTTTTAAAATGCAGTATTATGTAAAAACCCATTTGCCACAAACTACTGTACTCAGTGGAACAAATATATATTTCAGGAGCGTGGCCAACTGTAAAAATAATCCTATGAAATAAACATTGTTCATAAAAATACAGTAAAATGCACTTTTCCCACCTCAATAAATACATTTTAACGCTGTTTCCAGTTGGCATTTTAAGCCACCAGAGAGCTATTAATGAAGATGTCGCCAAAGTATAATTTCTCCTTATGTACTTTTACAATTATTGCAATAGCATCCAGAACTGTAAGCATTTTCCTTGCAGTCTTTTGTTTCTAGCTTCAGGGGAATCACAGACAGGAGAAAAGATTTATCTATAAAAATGTGCTACTCCTATATTGATTCCCATTTTGGAAAGAATGTTTAAGGTTTTCTTTCATTTCTTTTTACTAAGAAATAGTCCATAGAATAAACTGTTTCAAAGAAGAATTCTCCAGAATTACTCAGAAATTTAAAGTCTACTGTCCAGAGTCATAGTTTTATTTTTAATCCCTGTTTAATACATTTAAAATTAAAAATTAAACAGTTGTTAGATAAAAATAGAAGTTTTAGAACATCTTTAACAGCTAAGATAAAGGTTTTGTTAGAAAAAAAGAAAATCTTGCCCTTTTTACAAATCTTGCAAATTTTTAAATCCAAGTATTGACTTGAATTGTAGTTCTGCTTTCCATGCACACAAACACACAATTATATATACATAGATCCCTGATTAAGAAATTTTCCAAATGGCTTATTAAAAATGTAAAAGTCAATTTCAGCTGAAGTCATATTTTGTTTGTCCAAAGCACAGTCATTTCTTCAGAAGACAAGTATTTCTCTTCCTTTCCCGTGACACTTCCCCAGGGGTTCTGTCTGTCTACCTGCGAATGAATCAGTATTTTACACATCACACAGCTTGTGACAATAACTTAAGTATTCCTGTGCCCAGTGAATGAGTGCCTTTCAAAAAAAACAAACAAGCAAACGAAACCAACGGTTTCATGGCTCTTCTAAGAGGCCAACAGGCTTATCCTTCTTTCTGTGCAGGACTCCTTCACTTCCATTCATTAGTTGTTTTCTGAAGCATAAGAAGACTCGTATATTTGGCATACTTGATGGAACAGAATAAAACCAACAATAAAACCCCATTAAAACCCTTCGTGATTTCTCAGATTCATTGCATCACCTATAGCTCTTCCATTTCAAAGTGTGTATTAAAGCTGTTTGCCATGGATGTGTGTTCAAAGATCCTTGTCAGGCTTGGTTTCAGTAGCTCCATGGAATGACATGACAGCTGCTGTGAGGTATCGCTCTTCAGGGCCATGATCTGATCCGCCCCGGGATCCCTTCTGTCGTAGTACAGAGCCCACAGCAAAGTGATGGTGAGGATCATAGCCAGGATCTGCGTTACTCCAATAGAGATTCCTAGAAATCTCAGCACTTGCAATTGCTTTGTTCCCCTCAAAAAAGTGTACATTTTTTTACCGCATCCCTAAGAAACAAAAACAGATTAAAAAAATTAGTCCATATTATTTGATTTGCAGTTCCCAAGGTTTAGCTCATACCATCTAGTGCTGTTTTTTCTGGCTCCTCAAAATTTCTCTTTCACCTCTGTTGCGATTTAACCCAGCAAGTGGCTAAAACAACCACGCAGCCATTCACTCACTGCACCGCTCCCACTGGGAGTGGGGAGAGAATTGGGGAAAAAAAAGTAAAACTTGTGGTTCAGATAAAGACAGTTTTATAGGACAGAAAAGGAAGACAATAATAATAACAATAGTAATAATAGAATATACAAAATGAGTGATGCACAGCACAATTGCCCACCAACCAAAGCCAAAGTTCAGATAGTTCTCGAGCCAAACTGCCTCCCAGCCCACCTCTCAGTTATATACGGAGCAATGACATCATATGATATGGAATATCCCTTTGGCCAGTTTGGGTCAGCTGTCCTGGCTGTGCCCCCTCCCAGCTTCTTGTGCACCCCCAGCCTCCTCGCTGGCAGGGCAGTGTGAGAAGCTGAAAAGTCCCTGGCTGTTTATCAACAATTAAAACATCAGCATGTTATCAACATTATTCTCATCCTAAATCCAAAACACAGCACTATACCAGCTACTAGAAGGAAAATTAACTATCTCAGCTGAATCCAGGACAACCTCCTTCAAACAATACTTTGAAAATTTTTGCCTACTTTTTAATCACTTCTATAATGCCATCTTTAAGTTTTCTCATACATCGAGAGTTTACTGCATGTAACAAGCTCCAAGAGATCTGTGGTACTCTTCAATTCAGAAATCACTCAAAGTTGATCTGAGTTCCTATCAACTATCACTGATTTTTAAAGAAACTCAACTGGTTTGGCAAAGGTTTAAAAGCCATCGAATCCTCTTAATCATCTTGCTTCTCTCCTTAAATAACAGATCTTCAAGGTTGTCAATTATTTTAAACTATTTAGACTTTTTCTACAAATACTACTACAATCTTATCAAATCCAAATCATTGTTACTGGGAGGCAACATGGAAGCCCCTATTGTGAAAAATTACAAGGAAATTTACCAGTTTAAAACCAAACTGCTTTGGCATAGTAGTTTCCACACCTTTTCCCCTCCCGTACACCATCTCTGGCTGCAGCAGGGACCACCCCTGGCCAGGGGAGGTGCCCAAACTGACTGGGGTTACCTACAGCTCTGAAGCAATGCAAGTACCAATACACATCCCACTGACTGTTACATCAGTGCAGACGAGCTTGAAAGTCACCTCACTGTATTACTGCCTTGTTTTGTTTCATTAACCACTGTAAGAGTAGCTGTAACAACCCACCCTGCATCAGGCTGTCCACAAACCCAGGCAGGCAGCTAGACCCTGCTCCAAAGAGCTGACCATCCACATGCTGTATTAGGATGATGGTCACGTACACCACCTCTCCCTACCACTGAGCAGGTGCAAATCGAAAGCAATTATTTAAAGAATAATAATTATTATTATTATTTCCACAGGAAAAAAAATATCTGATTAACAAAAAGTATGTTAAAACATCACAACCTGATGTTTCCTAGAAATGGAAATTTAGAAGAGTAGCTGCTCTTTGACTCCTCAGCTCTTTCCAATCCATCAACGTATGCTCCAGAGTTTGCTTAAAAGGATAAATAATTACTGTACAAGGCTTCAGGAAAGCTCCAAAGCCCTTATAAGGCAGCAATGATACCCAGACACTGGCTCTGGGAACTACTGGACAACAGTGTAAACACAAGCTATAGTGCCTGCTGCTCAAAGGTGATGCCCAGTCTTAGAAAGGATAAAACTTTGAAGAGAAGGCCCTGAGCTAGGCTAGGCCATCCTTATTCTCTATTCTAAATTTTACAGGCCTTCACAGAAATCAAAGGAACACAGCCACCAAAGGAAAATTCAGAGTAATAATCTGGATGGAGTAACAATGCAGGTACCAAAAAGCACCGGGTCCCAGCAGAAGACATCAGGAACCCATCAAAATGGGCCTTGTCTTCAAAATGTCATTTTTGCGTTTATATCTTTACTGCATATTTCTTACAGCTTTTCTATTAAAAGAAAGCAATTGATCAAAGTGACAGAATCAGAAGACAGACCATGATAAAAAAGTTTACAATCACACTGAAATTCCCCATAGCCAACAATTTCAAATGCTACCGTCCTGAATGTGTTTGATGAAAGACCCAATTCTTGACTCACACACAAAATTCACACTGCAGTCAACAGATTCTCATTTAGGTTCTAAATAAAATTAATGTACTACAGAACAATTGCACCAGAGTAAGCTAAAGTATCTCAACATCTTTGCTCCACTCATCATTTCAGTGTGTCATTTTTTAAACATTAACATAGCTTAGACAGAACAAGGAATAAATGTAGATTCTTTGAAATCTGAAAAGAAAAACCACTATAGTTAGCAAAAGCAATGTAATTGAACTCGAGGAACAAAAATTGCCACATTGGTGTCTTTTTTTTCTTCAACTAGAAGACAATGTTGTAGTTATACTACTTTCCAAATTTGTTTTTAATTACAGAGAAACTGGCTGCATTTTAATACTTTTGATAACTTTAAGGGATGAAGGTGCATGCTGGTCATAATTTAAAAATGCTCAACCACAGCAGTATTCAAATTCAGTTCATTTGTTGCCTAGAGGAAACATCCATTAACAGAGAGCAATAACATTAATGCCTACATCTCCTGCAGTACAGACACATAACTGAGACAAATTATGCCCAATCTAGATAGACTGCCTCCCTCCATTTAATGATGTTCTTACAGTTCTGCTCTAATACACATTCAAAATCAGGTTCAAAAAATGAGAAATATCCAGCCACCCCGGTTATCCTCACATTCATATGTTTTATTTCTGCTTATGTGACACATTCATAGTTGGTAGACTGCAATTAAAAAGTACATAAATACACTTTCCTCGGCAAAAGTAAAAGTTTGTCACTAAATGGGGAGGCCTTGTTGACAACTCAAAAATAGTGTAAAACTTTGCAGCGATCATTCAGAAGAATTAGCTTCAAACTCCCAACAGAGCTGTGCATTAAAAGCCTGATTCATATTTACTACAAAGGCCATTATATATTTTCAGCCTTAAAATGGAAACAAAGCATATACTTCTGATTTACTGCAATATCATACAATAAGGACCAGATCTTAAATAAGGCACTTCTCAGAGTAGAAAAGATAAATCATCGCATATTCAACAGATCTGTTGTATACTGAAATTTTGAGTATACTCAAAATTATGCTAGAAAACAAAAGAAAAAATATTGAACATGCAATTTTGGTTTTTCTGAAGATATCAACTCCTACCAATCATTTTATCTAGGCTACAGTTCCTGATCACAAGACAGGCAGAGCTCCCCTTGTCCTCAGACCAGAATGAACCTCTGAGGCCACATTGTCATCTGATGCACCTCCACACAACCGTGCTCTTCCTAAGGTTAGTCTGTTCCACGGACTGCACCAAAGGTGAAGCTTGTCAGAATAAAGCCAGTCCAAGAAGACTTAACACATTTGAAAAATAGCTTTCAAAAATCCAGCAGGGGAAACGTGATTCCTACCAAAAATATTTTTGGGCAGAACTATAAGCAAGCCACCTTGCTTTCTACAAAAATTGTATTGCAAAGGATTCCAACTTAGACTACAGAAAGCTCCGAGATCCCAGCAGAAAATTGCAGCACAGCTACAACAAAACAATTTTATCAATCCCAGTCAAACCAAACTTCAGTTTTCTGAAGTACTACAAAGAATTTTTCTGAAGTACCAGAATAGACTTGCAAAGCATTTACGTAAGTCAATTTTAGGCTAGCGTGGCTCCCTCTCAAACCACCAGACTATGCAAGTTCATTTTGAATCACTTTCTAAAAAAGCTTTTCACCTTCAGTTCTCCAAAGCAGAAGTCTGACAGATTAGCCTCGCAAGTGTAAGCTGGTTTTGCATGACACTGATAAACATGTTAGCAAGTATACTGTACAAGCCTGTGAGACAACCCACAGGCAAGCACCATGGCAAACAATGTTTTGCCAGCTGAATACTGTACACATCTTAAAAAAGCAACAGAGTATTTTTGTGGCTAGTAAAACAAAAACCAACCTGTCCCTTTTTGGAACAGATTCTGCAGTAGACAACCAAAAATAAATTTTTGCTAAGAGCTGAATCCATCTAGAAAGCTCTAGAGAATGGTAGGGGAAGAAACAGAAATGTGCCCTCCAGGTTTCTTTTAGAAAAAAAGTCAGGCAGTCTTTCTTTTTATCAAGTGGGTCTCAACAGAGCCCTTATGTTCTACATCATCATTATCTCTGGCTATTAATTTTCTCTAAGTAGAACCAAAAGAACCTGAACATACGGAGTGCACAGAGAACCACTGTCCTGGAATACAGCTGTGGGAATGCAATGTTAGCAGAAGAGGTGAGATGAGAAAAATCTTGCAGTTTCAGAAAGACAGTCCAGTGCCTAGTACTCCTTCTCAGAAATTTCTGAGCTTCCTGAGCTCAAAAATTAGTTTTATTTTTTTATTGAATAACACTGTTTACATACTCTTGCTTTTTCACACAAGCAGGGAGAACACTCAGGACAAATGAACATTCTGCAGCTTTCATATATCTACACTCCTTGAGGGTTTTCTATGGCAGAGTTGGGCCGTATGGTATCAATATTGGCAAGAGTAATAGAAAAAACAACCATTATTGCAGAGTGAGTCACAGTTTGTTCTTCTTCAAGAATGTGTGAGAGATTGGCAGGCCCTAGAAGAAGCCTGAATGGCTTTCCCATTCAGAGACTGACACTTCTAAAGCACAACCAGTGCTGCAAGCCCTGCTGTAAGGCAGGAGAGGCTCTGCAAGTAGCTGGTGGAAAGAAAACAGGCTCTGCTGCCATTTTTAAGGTTCCCTAGCACAGACTGTCCTTCGGAGGCACCTGCCTTTTGGTAGCTCTACCTTCTCTCTTCCTAGTGAGAGCACACAAGGCCTAGGACGGATGTCTGAAAGTCCAAAACCGATTATATTAATTTCTGCTCATAGAATCAATGCCATACAAATCTAGCAAATCACATCAGTCATGCCATTTCCCCCAAATTTGATTGTTTCCTGGCAATAGCTAATATTCATCTTGGCTTGTTGGCAGTGAATCGCCCCTGCTTCAGAGGTTTCTCTTGACAGCTCCTGAACAAGAGCCACATAATAGATTCTTATAACAAAGAGTCTTGAACAGCAGTAAGAGACTGGGACAAGATAAAATGGTTCTTTGGGTGCTTTTCCATAATGCAGAGTTGTACCGTCCACTAGAGAAATGTTCATACTAGAGCATCTGAAAGCACGCTTCTCACGCACTTCCTATGCACCCTATATTACTCTTAAAGCAAGCAGAAGAAGAATACACCTCTTCTCAGATCCTCCTAGCTACTTGATTGAGACATGCTTTTTGTCACTACTTGACTACCTGGACTGTTGGTCATTCTGATATTACTGAATGTACAATTAAAGGTCTTCAGAGGTCTGTTAGCACGAAAAGAGAAAAAAAAAGGTAGGTAGCTAAGCAGTCTCCAGACAAAGGTGACTTTAGACAACGTTTTTGTGAGAACAGTTGAAAAGTTTTAGTAGAGAATATGTTTACATGTTTTTATAATTTTCACCCTAAGAACAATAACGACTGGCTACCATGATCTCTTCACTTTCTTACCCACCTTTTGAGTTCAAATAGGTCCTCTCCTAGTTTTAAGGCTTTCTTATTCTTTTAAAATAATAATCCTACTGTAATGTAGTAGAGTTAGAAAGAAAGAGCATTTTCACACAGTTTCCATGCATGCACACAGCAGAGCAACTGAATTGCATGCCTCCTTGCATGAACTCTATTAATAAGGGAGCTCTCATTTTCCAAAGGACTTCTCAAAAGCATCTTTCACTGTACATACCACTAGAGGCCTCATTACCATGGAATAAGTAGAATTTCTCTTAGTTTGGCAAGCTGGAGACTGGACATTACACCTGAACTAATTTTTTATTTTTTTACTGGAGCAAATTTCAACTCCAACCTAACCAATATAAATCAAAAACATATCTCAGATGTTAACTGCATTGCTACTAAGTTATCTCACTTCCAGGTTCCAGTGGCTGGGTTCTTTCTTTCTTTCTTCCTCCCCCACCCTCAGCATTAATAAATAATAAACATAAATAAACACAAATACTTTCCACAAACACAATTACTTTACAAACCTGTCTGCTGCACTGCAAGTGATGAGTTTGGAAAGTGACTGGATCGGGAAGAATGTACAAAGCCTTCTGAAATATCCACATTTTTCTTCTTACCTCCTGATAAAGGTCACTGAGATCCTCATGATGTGCCTGCTTAGAGCATCCTGGGAACTCTCTGACACAACATGAGTCAGGCGGCCAGTCCATCTCTGTCATTTCCAGCCAGTCTGTGAAGTACACCACCCCACAACATTTAAACTGCAAAGGAAGGATTAGCCAAGATCAGCAATAATGACGCTACTTCTTCATGAAAGTATGTCATTGTCCTGGTTTCAGCTGGGATACAGTTAATTTTCTTCCTAGTAGCTAGTATAGTGCTGCATTCTGAATTCAGTGTAAAAATAATGTTGGTAACACGCTAATGTTTTAGTTGTTGCTAAGCAGTGTTTACAATTAAGTCCAGGGCTTCTCAGCTTCCCAGGCCCAGCCAGCAGGGAGGCATGAGCCTTCTGCAGGAGGTGCACAAGAAGCTGGGAGCCAGAACAGCTGACCCGAACTGGCCAAAAAGACCGTATGACGTCATGCTCAGTATATAAGCTGGGGGGGTTGGCCAGGGAGGGTTGTGGCTCAGGAACTAGCTGGGCACTGGTCAACAGGTGGTGAGAAATTATGCTGTGCATCACTTGTTTTGTATATTCTTTTATCATGATTATTATTCTCTTCCTTTTCTGTCCTATTAAACTGCTTTTATCTCAACCTGCAAGTTTTAATTTTTTTGATTGTCTCCCCCATCCCACTGCGGGGAGGAGTGAGTGAAAGGCTGTGTGGTTGGTTTAGCTGCCTGCCAGGTTAAACCACAACAGTCAAGCTAAATAAATTTCTATTAACAACTTTCAAAATATTTACATAGGACTAAAAACATCCACAAGAGCTTCCACATTATTTTCTTCTGCTGTACTTTGACATAAAAGCAATGTGAAAAATGTAATGTAGTGACCAATGAACACCTCAAAAACAGCAAATGATACTGCTCTGCCCTTTAAATCCCAACTGCTCCCTCAAAGGATCCTTCACAGAAATTGTCCTACTCTGTAATTTTGCTATCCTTACTACAAGGAACTAATTTCATGTCAAAAGGGTGGCTAATGAACAACTATACCTGTGGCTGAAGGAAGTAGTAGGAAAAGATGATTAAGGTCTCATTACTGAGGACTACTCCTGCAAGGCTACAACTATGGACACAGCTGTTGAAAACCAGATGAGAAAAAAATATAGATTTGTCCAAATACAGAAAAAAGAAAAAGAAAAAGAAAAAAAGTGAGCAAAAAGGTATAGATATCACAAACGCTGAAAGGAAAAAAGGAAAATGGAATGAGGGGGTATCACACTAAAATAAACACTGCAACAGAATCAACCATAAAAGCAGGAAGTCAGGTTGCAAAGCAGATGAGCCATAATTGGCTATAAAAACCACCAGGACTAACAACCTGTCTTCTCCTCTGCAAAGCACACCAAGAGATTTAAAGCCAAACGACTAGCCTGCCACATTCCTAGCTGCTTTCACATAAAAAAGGGCTGAAACAGCTACATTAGATTTTCTTCGGCATTGGATGGGGACTTGATATAACTGAAAAAAAAAAAAAAAAAAAAAAAGCCTTGCTGCAGGAACAAGATGCTGCTTTTTTTCTGTTTGGTTGTTCTCCAGTACCAGCCTCAGTGTTTGTAATTCATTACGTGGTTCCTTTGACCCACAGGCATGGGAATATTTGCCCACTCTTACCTGCTTCAGAGCCAGAGTCCTGTCTCTATGCCACTGCTCAGTCACAATTAAGCAGATCAGTGCCCAGACACCACGCTGGTACATACTATACCTTGACTTCACTAGTCCTCTTATAAATCTCACTTCTTCCTTTTTCACCACAGCTTTAATGCTTCTGTTTTTATCAGTTCATTAGTCAGTCAAAATCCTCCCAACACTGGGCTTTCTGAGGAAAGCTCAAGCTTTGGCTCCTCATTTTAATTGCAAAGACAACTTCATTAAATATCCTTTTCTTACTCTCTAATCTTTTCTTCCCTCCCAGTTCTTCCTTCCTGACTTCAATTGATCCTACCCATCTGCCTTAGCATAGTCACAACTCTTATATTAGACCAGCAAGGGGGTTGTGTGGAAAATACATTTCCCATCTCTCTCAGATGTTAAAAGATACAGAAGAAAGAGCAGAAAGCCAATCAGGGCTGAATCTCTGGGAACAACATTGTAATTACATTTTTTAAAAAATTTATTTAGGAAAAAAAATTGTAATGCTGACTGAAGAAGGGCCCCAGGCATAGTGCTCGTTCAGGCATAAAGCACATACCAGGTTCACACATCCACCGTCTGAGTTATGAGTAGACAGAATAAAAATGAGAGCCCACCAATTAACTAGGAGCTGTAAAAGAGCCTTCTCAGTTCACTTCAAACTTTCCCCAAATTATTCCTCTGGTCAGAGATGGAATATAGGAAATCTAACTTCTAAAAGGAACTTTTTCAGCCCTGGAAGAGTTAAGGCATAGTTGAAGTTTTATTACTAATATTCATATTTAAACCAGCCATTATGATGACACTATAACAACCAGGAGGATAAAAGGTACCTTTTAATTTAATCAACCTATATGTTTAAACCAGAATACAGTATCAGCTCTATTCAGGGAAACAGAGACCATTTGATTATGTTATCTCAGGTACAGAATAGACACAAACACTGCCTGCCTATGGAGGATTACTGTTTCACAGAGCACTTGCAGGGGATAGGGGAGGGTGGGGGGGGGTGTTTAACCTCATGTAGTCCTCACTCTTTCTTTCAGGTTTTAGTATAAATACAGACTAACCAAGTGCTGCCAGGAAATGTTTAAATAAACAGGAAATCTGTGCAACAATGATAGATTTCAACATTTCAACAAGGGCAGCACAATGACAGGCATTTAAAGAGTTCTCTTCCTGCACGTGAGTCATATTTGGAGTTAATGGGTTTTACCTTGGGCAATTTCATGTTTTTGTAACATAATAGTTCATTCTTTAAAAACAGTTCTGAATTTTAGTGGGCCAGAGGGCAAAGCTGTGAATACACAAGGCAGCTTTTTGGTTTATTTCCTCCACCCACCCCGGTCAAAGGAAATAAAACTCCTGATCATTTTCACCAACTTCAGCCAAAGAGACAGTGCTGGCATCTTTTTGGAAATTTCCTTTCCTACTCAATTCCGGCTAAACACATATCTTAACCATGACAGCTCCATGAAAGGAAACTATTACAGCACACAGAAAGGGGAGCACAGGTTAATATAAAAACAGCATATAGAAAAGTTCATTTTACTTGACCTGCAGATTTTTAATTTTATATACATCATATTCTTAAATGTTACAATTCTAAAAGGTGCTGGTGTCTTAACGTTACTGGCAAAGGAGAAGACAGTGTTAGCAATTTAACTGAATTTAGTAACATTATTTTTGGGGGTGTTTTAGTGTCTTTAGGGCCTACGGAAGCTCAAGAGTTGGATATCAAGTGATATTACAAGATTTGATCACTACACAAGGTTTCACATGAAATGAACTTGCATTTACCTATTCACTTAAACAAACTTTTTCCTTTAGCAGATAAATAACATTTACTGAGCATGTATTACTTCAGCTCATGAATTAACTGTCGTCTTACCTCTCTCTGGAAGAAATTCCAAGCATGAGTCAGCCACTGGTACCTAGGTAGGCCATAATTGGTCATTCTGGCTTTCAGTGTGATCATATCGGACCACTGCACTGGAACCTGGAGCAAGGAAAGAAAAGTGATTCACACAACAGAAAACTGATAAAACAGATCAGTTGGCTTGTGGCTCCAAAACCAGAACTTCCATCTATTCTAAGATCTTTCCAGTGCAATGACAAAAATAATTTGTATTCAAGTAAAACAGGGAAACAAATGCTTCAATTTTTATGGTATTGAACCTTTAGGAGTCTTTATAAAAAGGTTTGTGTATCCTTTGCTTACAAATTAATGTACACTGGAAAATGAGATGCATTTTGGACAGATTCAGAGATAGTTGGGTACAATTTGATTATATCATTACAAGATACTTTTTATCTGGCATAAAACTTGAACAAAGCTCCATCCAAGTCATCAGGGATGGCATTTGTCTGCCTCAGTTGAGGTATCTCTCTGGTGTCGTCTTAGTCAACACAAAGAAACAGGCAGCCATACAAGGCAATTCATCTCAAGATAAGTATTTTAAACAGAGATGAATCATTCCCTGAAGTCTCAAATCCACTTCACAGTCCAAGGTGACAAATCTAGGTTTAAACGTCTAACTTCTAACTATATGAAATTAATTGAGATGAATTCTACCCTGAGAGTCTTTTCAGAGACTTTCTGGCTTTGCCTGGAGTCCTGCTCGCAGGTATCGCAGGTATTGTGAATGTTGTCGATTTCAGTATCTTGCTCAAGAATGGCAACAAGAAAGTTTAGACAACAAGGCCCCGTGAACTTTCTTCTTCACACACACTCACAGCCTTGTAAATCTTGTCTTCCGAAAGAAGGATTCTGGAAGTACTTTTGAGCTGCTGCTGTTAGAAACAATAGGAGCAAGTGCTATGGCACCTGGCATACAATGCAGTTAAGAGTCAAGATTAGAAACTAATTTCTGCTCAGCAGCACAAATTTCAGTGTGCCAAACTAAAACAAGCAGCTGAAGACTTTGCAGTTGCCCTTCTAGGCGCACATACCATTCATGCTGGGTTTTGCCTTGTTCCCATTAGCCTTAACAGTCATGGTGAAAGAAATCACAATTGCAGTATCAGCTTTCATTTGGAGGGTGGGTGAGCCCAGCTACTCTAGCAGCTGTGAATTAGCTATCCTGTTCAATTTGAAGTGAACAGTAAGCGCAATCTGCAAATAGCAATAAATGTTATCTAAGAAAAAAAAAAAAAAACAAACAAAACCAAAACAAAAAAAAAATCACAATACTTCCCAAGGAGCCTGGTCTTTGTTGTGCTAGATGCTCTACAAAAATATAGGGACAATCACTGCCTGCCTGACCCTGTAATCCAAATAAGAACATCTGATAATAATTCATTATTGCTGCTAAGTTATACTACAATTTTGATGACCTGGTAAAGCTTCGTGAATATGACTATATTAATAATATCCCAGAAATTTAACACACCTTTCACTTATCAGCATTTTTATTTCTTAAGCTATAAAGCACTGAACTCACAATTGTCCACATGAAAAATATGTTAGCAGTAGAATATTAAAAATACTTACAAAAACAGCATCACAGAATATTTCTACCACAAACATTTACACTGGTCACTGTAATAAAATAATTTGGGTTTGTACTAATGCATTTCTCTTTCTACTGCATTGGAAGTTAGTATTCTGCTTTCTTTGGATAATATTTGCTATTGCTGCAATTAAGGTCATATTTGCTAGACTATTTTTTTATTATCTTGAGTTGAATACAGTCCAAGGTTACGCACGTAACACAAGGCATCCAACTTTTATGAAAACAATGGAAAGCAGGAAAAAAATATCAAAAAGTGAGAGAAGGAAATTAAAAGCAAGTCAAAAAAACCTAAACCCCGTTGTAGGAAGGCAACTTGAATTCTGTAGCTAAGGAGGGATATTGGAATCTGTGTGTTTGACTGCCCCAAGAATGCCAATGTGTCAAACAAAGGCCATCGACGTACCTACTAAATAACTTCCCATCAGCTCACACATGTAGCAGTGCACAATAATGCATGACCTTGAGATGTATTTATTTGACTATACACCAACACTTCCATGTAGCATGTAGACAGACAAAAACTAGAGATGCTGGTTTGATTTTACATAAGTTCTGTAAAGCTCAGTTTGCCGTTGAGATCTACTTTATTATTATTATTTTTCTAATGAGTCTCAAGGCTTGACCGATGCCCAAGTAAGCTGAGAACCCACACTGGCTTTTCAATCTTGTGGGTGGAATAAATTAGTCATGAGGCACACTTCATGCTGAGAGCTATCATGAGCTGGAAGGAAAATTGTTTATACAAGCACTCTTACAGCAACTTGTCCACACACCAAGGAAAGTCCGTATTGAATCAGCAGAGGCGGTTATGCCTCGGTAACATTTTTCACAACATCACCCACCCACCTACACTAATGCCAACTGATTCTTTGAAAACCACCAGGGGCTCGTGTGATTTCATGCTATGCTGAAATCAACGTGACATCAAGTCACCCTCATGGGTATAAGAGGGAGTCTTCTTATCTTTATCAAGTAGAATAGGGGGAGGCATGCTCTAGGGAAATGACCTGCACAGGTATGAAAGAACCACTGAAAAACAACTGTGCTCTTCCAGACTGCCACACTCCCCGTGGGTCTCAGCAGCAAGAAACCTGAGTCTGGCCCACCTCATCACACGAAGAGCAGGAGAGCTACAACAAAGGAAATAAGATGGAACGAGAACAAAAAAAACAGTATTTCAGGGGATGAGGAATAAAAAATAATATATATATAAAGGGAGAGAAGAAAAGAGACAAAAAAAGAAAAGTGGTTGCTGAAGAGATTTTTTTTCTGTTCTCTTTGCATGCTCACATTCATACACTCAAACTCCTGGAAGAAAGAGGAAGAACCAGAGGAGCATGGAGTATCTGGGTTCACTGTGACCCACTGCAGAAGGCACAGGCATGGAGCTCAGTGCTGCTTCTTTTGGCAAAGGGGTATAGGCACATTCATGTTTTTTTCTGGAGGGAAGCAGCAGCACCAGTGCCTTAACGTATGGTAGGGCAATGCCAACTTCTATCAAACTGTCCCTGGTTTGGGTTTCAGTAGCATAGGAGGTAACTGAAAGCTTGGGGGTCACACTAAAACACACCGTAACTTCAGGTTCTCTAACTAAATAGAGAAGGCTGGAGAAGGCATGTACCAGTGCACTGAAGGCTATGTTATTTCAAGCAGCTTCAACTGACAAGATTTCTGTGGAAAGATGAATGTTAGTTAGAACTGTCATCCTTGGCAAAACCCCCCCAGAGGGCAGCTGTGCCCATAGGATAAAGCCTGCCTCTTGTCTGCATTCCCAATTTTAAAATGCATCAACATAACCTGACATTTAAAGTAAAGGGATAGCCTTAATCGCTGTTATATTAGAATACCCCTCTGGAATCTACACTGCAAGGGAATGAATGCTGATGCAAAGTGCTGCCACGTAACTTCAGACTTAAAACTGCCAGAAATTCCTTTGGTCCCAGTACTGTGTAAATATCAAGAAGGCTCCCTCCCATCTTACTGCAATGTAATTGCTACTCACTGTTGGAAAGACTAGTATATTGGGCACATCTTGACAGCTCAGAGAAAATATTTGTCCCTCTATTCATAAAAATGAACCAGACTTAGTACAAGATGTAAGGATGTAGCAGCCAGCAGAATAACATTTCAGTTTAATTTCTGCTCAACACTTACCCATTTTCTTGCATGATGGTTACAAGTTTTCAGTTAGAAAATTAAAGGTTGGTACAGCCATAAAAACTAGACAGAGATAAAACCTCTTCACAAGTTTACAGAAGAGTGTTTTATAGCTAAGACATGTTTTGCTTAAAACTAGCATTTTATAGCTTGTGGAGGCAGTGTGAAGATTTCAGCAGACAACAAACCCTCTCTTGAAAGAGCACACTGTTCACAATGTAGTACGCTCTATTATAGCTCTTCAAAACCTGAAGAACTTTTTGGGCAAAATCCCTTCAAATTCTTACATCTCCTCTCTCAAAATACTTATCTTAAGCCTGAAATCCATACCTTATCCTCAAAACTTCCACTGATTTCAATGAGAACCTGCCCAAGGAAGAATTAGCAAAAAACAGAGTCCTTAAGTCAGGGACTGCAGGATCTGGCTCTCAAATACAGAGGGGGTGGGGAGAAACCCAGAGAGGACCTTCCAGACAGACAAACTTTCCCAGAAGAAATCTCTTTAAAAAAAAAAAGGCAGTCACATGAAATTAGACTGTCAGAATAATGAACAAAGATAAACACTACAGCAATTAGAAAACAGCTAGCTAATGGAAATCTTTGTTTTCTTCTGTTGAAAAAAATGCAGCCTCCTTTTCTGACTCACCGTTATTTCCTGCTCATAGGTCCAAACACCACAGGCCAGTTCAACGCAGAATATTACAAGCAAGCTTCCAAAATACTGCAGAAAACAGAATGGTCTTAGTTATTTTTGATGTTTAGGTTAACTCTGAAAAAAAGACTTAACAATATTAAAGGATATCTCAAAATATTATTACCATTTCATATGACTGAAGACACGGAATTGGAAATATTTTTGTAACCAAAATATGAAAGATTCACGCAGCAAACTTTTTTAGAAAGTTTAAGTCATGTGACATTTCTTACTAACTTAACATGAAGCATATGAACATTACAATGGGAAAATAAATTCATTTCCTTACTGCCCAAGAGTACAAGGCTATCATGACAAATTATGCTAAAAGAGTTGCAAAGAGGATAATCTTTTTCCCTTATATATGTGGGAAAAAAAGAAATCGCTTTTGCAGTTCTATCCATTTAAGCAACATATCCAAATCATGCTAATAGTCAAAAGGCAGAAGGAAAAAAAAAGAAAATTGACAAGATGGAAGCAAACAATATTCTTGAAATCTATGTTCTTACCAAAGTGACATAGGTATTTGAGGTCAGGCATTAATGTACAAATATTTATTGCAATGGATTGAAATATTTTGTTTATTACCAGATCTAGCCCTTGAACTATTTATAAATGTATAAATGAAGAAGCTGTACAGGTCTTGGTAATGCCAGTTAAGAAAAACTGATTGCTGCAAGTAAAAAGATTAGGACTATCTTCTGTGTAGCATCAACAAACGCTTTCTGAACTGCAGGATAAAGCTGCATGGAACTAAGACTGCTTTAACTGGTCTTCTCTATTAAAAGTAACCCACTTATCTTTTATTTAAAGCAGAAGTATAGTTCCATTCACTATCGACTCCACACTTTCTTACATGTCAATGGACTGAGCTCCCTCTTGTTCTCAGTACACAAGACTTAAAGTTACAGTCTTCATGGATTTTAATTTTATTTAGAAATCAAAGAAATCCCATCACAACATAAAATAGAATAAATATGTAATTCCATTAGTAGGATGCATGCCAAAAGGCTTCTAATTTAGTAATTTAATTCTGGAATCTATTTAGAACAGCTGTAAAAGACACAACACATGCACTGAGGGTAAGTGAATTTTATTTTTCTATTAAAAAGTCAGTAAGATATATTATTTAAAATAGAGAAAATAAATCCACAAGTGTTAGGATTTAATGGTCATCTAAGTGGCATCTTTTTCATTGACCTCATCTGGAACTGAGTAATTCACAGATACCTTGGCAGCTACTGAACAGTGTCTTGCCTTAACTTCTATTTGCTAATCAAATCTAACTCCTTGAATTAGGTTTGTTGACGCAAGCAGCCAAATTAAAACCACGCATGTAAAAATATCCATGTGAATTTTCATGAGAAACCTGTACTCAAATCTGCCCCCCCGCAAAGGTCTGTTCAATAAAGATGGTATTGAAAGAAAAGATCCTGTTTACTAGGAGGTGTCCAAGACCAAGTTGGATGAGGTTTCGAGCAACCTGGTCTAGTGGAGGGTGTCCTTGCCCATGGCAGGGGGGTTGGAACTAGATGATCTTTAAGGTACCTTCCAACCCAAACCATTCTATGATTCTCCATCCCATTACATTGCATCTTTATCATCATGATAGCTGAACACCACAGTGTGTATCCTTATAAATCAACACTATAAGCACATACAGAGCTCCAGTACAGGCCTTCAATAACAAATATGCTTATCCTCCAAAGGTCCAAGAGAGGAAAAAATTTGAGTCATACCTTGTAAGAACAATGATGCTTTCTCTAAAAAGTAAATTCATGAGCTTCTAGACAACGTATCCACTATCACTGTAGTGCCTGCAAGTTATGCAAAGGGTTCTTTAAAAAAAGATGGAAATCTCCTTTGCAAAGTATTCACTTCAAAAGGAGGAAAGAATGCCACGTGCTTTAGCTCTTAATGTTTAATATTATAAATATTATGGGTAATACCGACATTTTTGAGAGAGCAAAGAACTAAACGTTTAGGTGAAAAGCAAATTTGAGTTCTCAGCTGTCAAAGAAAATGCCAGTGGTTTTATACTCTAATTATACTCTAATTGAATAACAAGCCTGTGACAGCCTGCTATCCCCAAATCTTAGGCAAAACTCACTGATCATAGTGAAAGGGACACATCTGGGGCTGTACATGTGGCATTCCCTGGAAAACTCTTAATTTGCAGTTCCTTGTAACATTTCATTCCTTCACAAACCTTAACGTTTGAAACCTCCTCATTTTTGTCAGCATACAGTTAAAGTTTCTGGTAGCAGATGGAGACAGAAGAGCCAAACCCAAGATTTTCTCCAGTTACTGAATATAGCCTGGGATAGAAAAAACTATTAAGCCAGATTCACTCAAAAACCACTTCTGGGTCTGCCAGGAATTGAGCAGTCCTGACTCTAGCTACATCTGGACACATCAGGGCACTGCAGAATCAAGCCTTCTGTCTTGAGAAAGCACATCATCTGTCCACAAGGCAAAAGACCAAAAAAAAAAAAGACACAAAGATTTTACACACATGAAAGCCCACTCTAGGAACCAAGCAACTGCAGGCACACCAAACCCGCACACAGGAGCTTCAGTTTCACCTTGCTATTGAAGGGGAATATTATACCCGTCTCTGAATGTAATGGTTTGCAAAACAAATAATTCTTATATAAGTTGGGGGGCGGGGGGAACCTCTAACCATTATTTAAATTTATTACCCCTAATTTCCATGTTCCAAACACAGAAATTATTTCTGGCTTCAATGCTTATTCCTTGTCCCCAATTAAATTCCCACAGGAGTCTGAATGCTAAATGCATCTTCCTGCCTTTGCACACTTCTGCCTTTTGCCAGAAACAGGGACTTGGTTTTGAAGCAAGGCTTAATATTTTTTCCTATGGGCTGAGTGGCTACATTTTGTAAAGAAGACTAATTCACTGAGGAACACCACTGTGCATTACACTCAACACTGCACCAGCAGGTCACTGATATTACCTCCTACACCACACCCCGCTCACAGCACTCTCAGCCATTGCCGAGATATTGTCTACTGGGTTTTGGTTTTTTTTTTTTACTTTGTGTTGGGTTTTTTTGGAGGGGGTTTG